AATAATAAAGTATAGTTAATATTCACCGACCAAGGAACTGGATAAGACCGTGTTAAAACTATACTTCTTTTTTATAGTTTATTTACATAGAAATGTAACACAATAAGACAATGAGACAGATTCAGATTAAAGCCGTTTAATTTTTAGTTCTGTGACCCAAACGGCTTGAAACTGACTAGCGAGAAGTAGTTTTAGGTGATTAAAATATGGCTACCTGTAGTTCTTCTAATCTCGACATCTTCTTTAGTTCTTTCTCAAAAGCTTCAAATCTTCTACCGAGAGCCGGGATTAATGCTGGGTTAGTTTGAACCACCATCATCATCATCTGTAATTGTCTAGATAAAAATATGGTATAGTTCTTATATAGTATGCTAACTTTCTCGAAAAACCTTATACCACTTATTCAGTGATATGTGTTATGTACAAGAGGGATAGAAAGAGAGGGGGGGGGGTAACTCCACTCAACACAAACTAGGTCAACATATGGTTCAATTTTATTTAAAAAATTCGCTTGCGCATCAGGGTCTTTAGTAGTGGGAGGAAGCCCATGAGGTTTGACATGCAACTCTACTCTTTGTCACCTAAAACCGGGAAATTGAAACCATGCCAGTTGACTTAATGCCAGACCTTATGATACAGCGTGCACATGCTAACCAATCGGCCATCCAACCACCCTGTTATGTACAAGGAAAAGTAAGCTAGAACGCCTGATATCACTTCATATATAGCTGTAAGTAATGATGGACAAGGCTGGATTAAGCTTGGATCCGACAATTTAAAGTCCACTCAGCACTAACTGTGTCATTTAACAACTAGCATACAGCATAATATTGTTTTAATAATTCCTTCGCATGCCGGGGGTCTTTAGAAGTGTGAGGAACCGGATAAATCCCTTGCAAAGTTAAGCAGGTGACCTTATTACTCATGTATAAAGAGAGAGATAGATAGATCATTTCGGGACTAACATATTTTACACTTTTTATTTCAAAAATTGACATGCACATAGGAGTCTTTAACAGTGAGAGGAAACCCAATTGTCAGGGGGATCACGGTGGCTAAGTGGATAAGATGCTGGCTCGCTAGCCTGAAGGTTGGGTCTTCGATCCCTGCATTGGTCGAGAAAGTTCATCCAGATTTTCCGGCGTAGTTTCCCCTTGTCAGTGATGCAGGATGAGATGAAAAACCGAGGTCCCGTGTACACATTGGCATGCACGTAAAAGATCCCTTGGCAGTTGGAATTCGATATAAGAGTAAGCCATAGAGCCGCTGCCCGGGCAAAAATTTCCCTCCGTCATAGCACACTGTATGGTGTATGCCCGTCTTTATTAGCCTAGGAGTAGAACAGTAGGACGTTAAACCCCATTTCATTTCATTTCCAATTGTCAGGTATAAACTTTATGATCGACATCATGGTCACCCTGAATTTTTTTAGATAAGTTGCTAGGACAACCCTCTTGAAATATTTTCTGTTACCTTGGATCCATGGTTGATGCGTTGGCTTTCTTTAACTCGTCAACAGTACAACTCTGTGATACCAGATAGTCTAATACTTCCTTCATTTTAAGATCGTAATCAGGTGAGTTGGGTAAAGGGAGCTTACTCAAACAACGAAATGTATTGGTAAAATCACTACCCGTGTCTTCCATAGTTTTAAATAAAGATTCTACTAACTCTCTGAAATAAATGATCAACATACGGTTTGAGTTCACAATTATGGTAGGTTAAGAATTATGGTAGGTTAACAACAATTATTGTAGGTTAACAACAATTATGGTAGATTAACAATTATGGTAGATTAACAATTATGGTAGATTAACAATTATGGTAGGTTAACAACAATTATGGTAGGTTAACAATTATGGCAGGTTAACAATTATGGTAGGTTAACAACACTTATGGTAGGTTAACAACAATTATGGCAGGTTAACAATTATGGTAGGTTAACAACAATTATGGTAGGTTAACAACACTTATGGTAGGTTAACACTTATGGTAGGTTAACAATTATGGTAGGTTAACAATTATGGTAGGTTAACAACAATTATGGTAGGTTAACAACACTTATGGTAGGTTAACAACAATTATGGTAGGTTAACAACACTTATGGTAGGTTAACACTTATGGTAGGTTAACAATTATGGTAGATTAACAATTATGGTAGGTTAACAACAATTATGGTAGGTTAACAATTATGGCAGGTTAACAATTATGGTAGGTTAACAACACTTATGGTAGGTTAACAACAATTATGGCAGGTTAACAATTATGGTAGGTTAACAACAATTATGGTAGGTTAACAACACTTATGGTAGGTTAACAACACTTATGGTAGGTTAACAACACTTATGGTAGGTTAACAACACTTATGGTAGGTTAACAATTATGGCTTTAAATGTTATATAAATTATTATATAGACATCTATTTACATGACACGCCTATAACCAACTCTTTAGATCATTGGATGACTTGAATATTGAGTGGATTCGACAATACCTTACCCACTCATATGGATAACCTAGCTGAAATTTTTTCTGAAAAATCCACTCGACACAAACTAGGTCATTTTGGGATTAACATATGGTTCAACTTTATTTCAATAATTCGCTTGCGTGTAGGGAGGAAACTGGAGGACCCGGAGCAATCCACGAGTTTGGATGCTGATAGAAGACCTGAGAGAAATGGAAAATTACTGTTGTTGGATTTCTACTTACTTATCTTCTGGTACTTCTTTTATTAGTCCAAGCTATAAATTAAAAAAAACAACAATTGTACAATTAATAAAATAAATTTATAATCATGAAATAAATTTATATTCATAAAATAAATTTATATTCATAAAATAAATTTATATTCATAAAATAAATTTATAGTCATAAAATAAATTTATATTCATAAATTAAATTTATATTCATAAATTAAATTTATATTCATAAAATAAATTTATATTCATAAATAAACTGATATTAATAAAGAAAATTGTACAATTAATAAGAAAATTGCACGATTAATAAGAAAATTGCACAATTAATAAGAAAACTGTACAATTAATAAGAAAATAAATTTATATTAATTTAAAAAAAAGTACAATTAATAAAGGGAGAGAGAGAGAGAGAGAGAGAAAAATGGGGATTAACGTCCACTCAACACAAACTAGGATGTTAGTCCTGAAATGATCTGGTTTGTAGACGTTAAACCCCATTTCTCTCTCTCTCTCCCTTTATGATATCTAAAATGCACTATTAATTAATGGAAAAGGTACAATCAAGATATCAATACACTATTATTTATTTTCTCATCCGAAATTTCAAAAGTATTACCTTTTTTCTCATTTTATCTTTATAATGTTTACTGTATTCTTCATCAAATAGAGGTAGAAAAGGTTTAGTTTCACTAACAGGTACCACATCTTGTATAGCTTCCGCTAATTTCCCACAATTCCATTTACATATTTCTGGTTGTTTACTGTATGAATATCTTCCTCCGTCATCTGCCATCAAAACAAAAAAAAAATATCTTTTAAAATTATCGAGAGAGAGAGAGAGAGAGAGAGAGAGAGAGAGGTAGAGATAGCCCCTCGACACAGACTAGGTCATTTTGGGACTAACATATGGTTTAATTTTATTTCACTAATTCGCTTGCCATATGGGTCTTTAGCACTGGGAGGAAACTGGAGGACCCGGAGAAAACCCACAAGGCTTGACAGACGACCCTACTCACGTACAACGGGAGATTCGAAACCATGGCAGTTGACACAATGACAGGCCTTATAATACAGCACACACGTGCTGACCAATTCAAGTTGCTAATAGCTTGAAACTTATTGACCCTCACACTTACATCTTTGTGTGTGATTCCTCTCAATCTGATTAAAACACAGATCCCATTTCGTTTCATTTTTATAGTTTAAAATTTCGTTTGACTTGTCTTTACTACAATAGGAGCTGGTTGATGTGAGGGATTAGCTAATGAAACAGTCTGTTATGGAAAGTTCTTGGCGCGTATTGCACGGAATAAACGTTGACTGGTTAATCAAATGTCTGACATCATAGGTCAAAAGCCTCTCGTATGACCCATGACACGACCTTCCACTACAACAGGTCATATCTTCATTTAATGCAGGCCATCGAAGGTATAAAAAAAGAAACGAAATATAGATCTGTATTTTAATCAAATTGGATTGCTATTTGTGTGAGAGAGACAGGGAGAAAGAGAGAGAAATGGGTTTTTACGTCCACCCAACGCAAACTGGTTGATTACACCACTAACATATGGAATAATTTCATTTTCATATTTTGCTTGTATGTCAGGGTCTTTAGAAAACGCACCTACTTGGGCAGGAGACCCTAATCCTTGTCACTAGAGACACTTGGTTTTGAAACTATGTCACTTGACTCAATGACAGACCTTATGATCTAAAGCTATACATAAATATATAAAGAGATATGGGGTTTAACGTCCACTCGTCACAAACTAGGTCATTTCCAAACCAACACATGGTTTAATTTTATTTCAATAATTTGTGTGCTCATAGGGGTCTTTAGCAGTGGGAGGAAACCGGAGGACCTGGAGAAAACCCACGAGGTTGGACAGGTGATCCTACTCCTTGTCACGTACAACCGGGGAATCGAAACCACGCCAGTTGATTCAATGACAGACCTTATGATACAAAATGCATATGCTAACCATTCGGCCATCCAACCCCCTTTATACATAAATAATGAGTTAACATACCTGAACCATTACATATATAATCTGGATCATATCTATCAATAAATCCATATGGTCCATAATCTATAGTTAATCCTAATATACTCATATTGTCTGTATTTAATACCCTATAACATACATTAATATCCTATAACCTAATCTATAGTTAATCCTAATATACTCATATTGTCTGTATTTAATACCCTATAACATACATTAATATCCTATAACCTAATCTATAGTTAATCCTAATATACTCATATTGTCTGTATTTAATACCCTATAACATACATTAATATCCTATAACATAATCTATAGTTAATCCTAATATACTCATATTGTCTGTATTTAATACCCTATAACATACATTAATATCCTATAATATAATCTATAGTTAATCCTACTATACTCATATTGTCTGTATTCGATACCCTTTAACATAAATTAACATTAACAAAGCTTACAGCCGGGGAAGTTTATCGCACACCAATAGCAGTAGTTGGGGCAGGGAAACGGGTGCCAAGAGTGGTCGTGGGGCCAGTGAAGTTGGTGTCAATAGTATTGGCTGGGAAAGGGAAATGAAATGGGGTTTAACATCCTACTGTTCTGCTCCAACTGGGCTACTGAAGACGTGCATACGCCATACAGTGTGCTATGAGGAAAATTTTGTTACCCGGGCAGCGGCACTAAGGCCTACTCTTATATCGAATTCCAACTGCCACGGGATCTTTTACGTGCACGCCAATGCATACACAGGACCTCAGTTTCTCGTCCCATCCAAACAACTAGACAGCTGTCAATCTCAGGCCCCTCCATTCTGCACCACTGACAAGGGGAAATCACGCTGGAAAATCCTGATGAACTTTCTCGGCCAATGCAGGGATCGAACACGCGACCTCCAGGCTAGCTAGCCAACGTCTTACCTACTTAGTCACAGTGGCTCGAAGCTGGGAAAGGGATGTTGGTGACAATAAAAGTAGCTGGGCCCGGAAATTGGGCACCAATAGTGGCACCTGGGAAAGGGATGTGGGTGCCAATAGAGGTAAGGGAGCCAGGGAAGTGGACACCAATAGTAGTAGCTGGACCAGGAAAGCAGACACCAATAGCAGGAACCAGACCAGGAAAGTAGGCACCAACAAAACGGTAACCAGGATATAAAACAAAATATCTTTTAATCAAAATCTGTCAAAGTGATACTGTCAGGTGACTAGAATCTATTTACAATTCTGTCAATAGCTGTAAATATTATCGGCAGTTATTATGTTTTTTCAGTTTAATTATATACCTACCCATGACACCAACCAACAGCCTGCCATTCAACAACTAATCTAGCTGTACGTCTAATAATCTCCTTGTACATTTCTATATAAACCTTCTGTTTATCCGATTCATATTCACTCCATATCTTTACAAAAAATATAAACAAATTACAAACATCAAATAATATATCTTTACAAAAAATATAAACAAATTACAAAAATCAAATAATATATCTTTACAATAAACATAAACAAAATACAAACAAATAACATATCTTTACAATAGACATAAACAAATTACAAAAATCAAATAATATATTATTTATAGATAACAATTACTATAGTTTATTACAATAGGCATAAACAAAATACAAACAACAAATAATATATTATTTATGGATAACAATTACTATAGTTTATTACAATAGGCATAAACAAAATACAAACAACAAATAACATATTATTTATAGATAACAATTACTATAGTTTATTACAATAGGCATAAACAAAATACAAACAACAAATAATATATTATTTATGGATAACAATTACTATAGTTTATTACGCTGTGACGTTTCAACAAGATTTCACAAGTCGTTATAAAGCCTTTATTAATACAAAATTTCTAACTGTTTTAGAATATTAGCATGCTGCCAATGGCATACATTCTTTTTGTTCCATGTGAACAACTAGAGGCTTTTTGTTGTCATTCTTTTCGTCCTGTGCCACTGACAAGTCTAACACAGAATTGTGAGTTGTTTCTTTTTAAAAATTTGAGGGGGTTGGATGACCAAATGGTTAGCACATGCACGCTGTATTATAAAGTCTATCATTGAGTTAACTAGCTGGTTTCGATTCCCCGGTTGTACATGACAACCAATAGGGTTGTCTGTCCAACCTCCTAGGTTTTCTCTGGGTCCTCTGGTTTCCTCCCACTGCTAAAGACCCCTATGGGCAAGTGAATTATTGAAATAAAATTGAACTATATGTTAGTCCTGTAATGACCTAGTTTGTGTTGAGTGGATCTCTCTCTCTCTCCCTCCCTCTCTCTCTACCCTCTCCCTCTCTCTCCTTTTAAAAATTTGATCAAATGAATTGTCGGCTAGTGACCATCTGACATGCTAAATGTGGATATTTTAAAACATTCAAAATAAAAGCAACATGCTGCCTACATATATTATTTCCATAAAATTCAAAGTCTATCTAATTAAAACACAGATCCTATTTGATTTTGTTTTTTAAACGTTCAAAATTTCGTTTTACTTGTCTTTACTACACTAGGATCTGGAAGAGTTGTTATATAACCAGCGAACTGGATGATGTGAAGGATTAGCCAATGAAATGGTCTGTTACAACGAGTTTTTGTCGTGAGGTGAAAAGAACTGTTGGTAACCCATTATAGAGTCAACAGATGCTTGTATGACCTCTGATGTGACCTTCCACTACAACTGGTCAGATCTTATTGTAGTGTAGGAGATCAAAAGTATAAAAAAAAATGAAACGAAATATAGATCTGTATTCTAATCAGATTGATTCAAAGTCTAATTATCTAAAATGTTAAAATATAAAGTTTTGAAGTACCTCAGGATAAAATGTTTTGGCTGTATAATCTAGTAACTGGACAAGCACGTCTTTACGACCAACACTTGGTCCAGCACGTCCAGTCTCTGGGTCCATGGGTTTGAAGATTTCAAAAGAACCAAATCTGATAAAATAAATAACATTTAATAATTACAAAAGTCCAAGTTTTTAAACTCATTCAAAAAACTGAACAGGAGTGATTTTATTAATACATGTATGCCGTTGTATGGGTAGTCTTTCAGACGGGACAATAAAAAGAGGTACACATTAGTGTGCAAGTAAAAGATCCTTGGCTGCTGTACGGGTAAAATTTCCCTAATAGCACACTGTATGGCGTACACCTGTCTTCATTAGCCCAGTCGGAACATAACAGTAGGATGTTAAACCCCATTTTATTTCATTTCATTTCCTTTGTATGAGCATACGCACAGGGGCTCTTCGGCCCAATCTTATTTGAATTCCAACTGTCAAGCGTTCTTTTATATGCACAGTCACCAACATGTACATGGAACCTCTATCTTTTGTCCCATCCTAACAATTTGAATACTAATTATGGTACCTGATAAATGTTGGAGCTATTCTTAGGATGATTGTACATCTTTCTTCTATGGGATGGCCATCATAAAATATATCTCTTATAACTTTAGAATCTGATGTTATACACGTACCAGCACGCGTTGTTGGTATGCCTAGATGATGTATAGCCTAGAAAAAAAGATTATAAATAAAAAATATTTTAATAAAGTCGACAGTCTGATGTTACACACGTACCAGCACATGTTTTTGGTATGCCTAGATGATGTATAGCCTAGAAACACAGATTACAAATTAAAAAATATTTAATAAAGTCGACAGAAATAAAGATTAGTGAAACTAAAATTAAAAACTTTGAAAACAAAGAGAGTAAGAAATGTGGTTTTACGTCCAATCAACACAAACTGGGTCATTTTGGGACTAACATAGGGTACAATTTTATTTATTATGATTAATCAAATATTGTTCAGTCCATACCTCACTACAGAGAAATTCTCTGATGCTACTACGTAAAACTTTTCTACCATCAGCCGTTCTACTATAAGGTGTTAAACCTGCACCTTTAAACTGTATTTCCCATCTTTCACTCTTCTTATTTACAACTTCGCCTAAATACCTGAAAAATATAATAATTTAAGATAAATTATATTTTCTGCATTAAATTACATGTATATAACTCAACAGTTGGAAGTTGTCAACTTTTTTAGGTAGGTGGGGATGGAATTTATTTTCAAGATTTTGTCTAAACAATAATGGTTGGATCTATTCGATATGGTCAACCTCAAGTTTGGTCAAAGGTCACAAGATGTAAACTGGGCTAGCGCCAATTCCAACCCTAACCCTAACCCTGGACCTAGCCCCAACGCTTACCCTAACCCTAACCTACAATCTCGCCATCAATCACATGTCTTAACCTTTTTTACATCTCATGTCTTAACTTTATTTACAACTCAGCGACCTTGACAAAAATTGAGCTGGCCTTAATAAATAGATTTAGCCAACAATAATGGTATTTTGTTGATTTTAATTTACTACTAATGAGAAGTTTGTCTGTAATTAACTGTACAACGGGAAAGTCTACTTAGAAACGTGTGTAATTTATGAAAATTAACTATATTTGAGAAAATGATCAGTTAGATTCTTATTAGCAGAAATTAGCATTTCGCCTGGCGATATTTGAGAGAAAAATCTGTTCAATCCTTATTGGCGACAACACGAGAACTACCCAAAAATAAAAAAAGAGACCGCTGAAACTTGATGGACAAAAAGAAAATGCCCCGCCTAACAATAAAAAAGAGACCACTGAAACTTGATGCAAAAAAAGAAAATGCCCTTACTTACATCGTTGCTCCGTCTCCTAACTGTCCTGAGAAATATCCAAACTGATGTCCACAGTAACAGTGAGCTGCTGGATCTGATCGTGGTAGTAATTTGTTACCGCTGAAATATTCAGCGAAGTCGGTTCTGTCCAGTTCTTCTTGGGATAAGTCTAAGAGTTCCATTGCCGAGGCAGAATATGCTACAAGGACAGGATTTTTCACTGGTATGGGTTTAACTTTAGAAAAACAGGCACCGGAGACTTGTCTCGGCCTGATTTCCTTATTAGGATCGATCGGAAGGGATCGCAGAGCCAGATTATCAAAATTTAAAGTTTCCAATTTAGCCATTGTTGAAATATATCTAATCACAGGGGCACAAAGTGTAAGAAATCTTGATTTGATGCCTAATTTTGAGCAGCAGTTAACACGATTTTCTCTCCGAGGCCGTAGTCCGATGTCGGTCATTAATTCTCTGTGGATTGTTCGTCCTCCATTTTTCAACACAGACAAAGATTTTAGCATTTACCCAGAGAAACAGTAGACTGATATGGATATCGAAAATAAGTTACAACATACAAATTATTGTATATTTTAAGAAACAGCGAAAAGGGTGCATGTTTTTGTTTACAACTGTTACATAACGGAAGTAGTGCCTTTTCTGTCTTTTTCTTATTAAAGATTATATAATGGGAGATAACCCAAAGTTTCAATTACCTTCCTTGGACAATGGTAGCATATTTGTTTTGTTTTTTTATTGCAATGACCTAAAAGTACGTCAAATAAAGCTGCAAATCTTGTAACATGTTGATTTCGACAATTTTGTTTACAAAATAATTAAAAATATTTTAAATTGTTTGATAATAAATATAAAGCTACCTAAATCAAATCCCAGCCCAGCTTCTGTTTCTTAACTAGAAATAAATAGGCCTATATTTTCATTTTGGATATTATAAATGAACCCGGGGATGCAAAATTATTTGGACTAAAAGTTAATTATAATTTTCAAAACTCAAGCTCAATATGATTAAGCTTTTTCACAAATTAAACCCAGTTCTCAAAGGTGCCAATATAAATTATGCGACTGCTGATGTCGGCATGACTACTTGTGACGTAATTGAACAATAGTTCATTCTATTCTACTAAGCAGTAGGCAAGGCGAACTTTTCAATCATCTTTACATATTTTTCCATTTAAGTGAGTAAAATTCTTTCTATTTATTTTATTTTTAAATTATGATTATGTTATATTATCATATGTATTGATTGGCCTCTGAATCAAATATAATTCCAATGATTAAACTAAATTAATCTATTTTCAAGGCGTCTCGGATCCAGTGGCGTCGGCCAGGGAATCCTTCTCGGGAAGGGTAAGGGGCGTACAATAAAATTAAAATTATTCTTTTTTAAATTTGAAATTATCGCTGTTAACTTCGCTGCAAGGGGATCACGATGGCTTAGTGGCTAAGACGCTGGCTCGCCATTTCCGAGGGGCCCAAAAACAAAAGGGGCGCAAAAACTCAAAACCATGATGCAAAGCTCGTCAATGCGTCGCCCTAACTTAGCCTCTGAAACTTCTATAGATTCATACACGCTGGTTTTAATAAGGGGGTGGTCAGTGTCTGGACCCTCCGCTGCTCGCACAGATCAATCTAATGTCTCCCGTATGCTGCGTAATAACGTTCGAAGCATTTCCACCGTTTTGACTTCACCCCACCCTTTACATGTATGCGTGCGCTTTAGTATAAGATCTATAACTGAGTCAAGCCGAGAAATGAAATGAAATGAAATGGGGTTTAACGTCCTACTGTTCTGCTCGTAAACTGGGCTAATGAAGACGGGCATACGCCATACAGTGTGCTATGAGGGAAATTTTACCCGGGCAGCGGAGCTACGGCCTACTCTTATATCGAATTCCAACTTCCAAGGGATCTTTTACGTGCACGCCAATTTGTATACGGGAGTCAAGCCGAGAGGTTTTGAACCGATACTTGTACGTGACCATTAGTCGGGTCGTCTCCCAAGTTCGAGTCTACATTACCTGACAAGGAGGAGGGTCGCCTGTCCAACCTCATGGGTTTTCTCCGCCACCACCCACCCACCCGGTTTACCCCCACAGCTAACGACCCCTACAGATTAATTATTGAAATAAAATTGAACCTTGTGTTACTCTCTCTCTCTATCTCTCCCTCTCTCTCTCTCTCGACTTAACACGCTCCCTGAATTTTAATATCATGTATTTTGTTTATATTGACAGTTCATCCCTCATCTCATCTTCACCAATCATGGATTCCTGGTTGAACGCAAGCGACAGTGAAATAGAAGACATCATGCCAGAGAAAGACCTCGTTACGTTTGAAAACATGCAAAAATACTACAGCCCTTACTCCGATATTGTCGCCTCCTATACTCTGGGTGAGGCTTTCACCACCCACAGCCGAGACTGGGTGGGCCTGTTCAAGACAGGTTGGCAGGATGTGACGTCGTATGAAGATTACCAGTGGGCTAGCACGGATTCCTTCTCACATCTGTTACCTAGGAGGCGGCGAGTTATCTTTCAGGCGCCCGGTCAGAAGGTTCGTATTTTTAAATATAAAATTCTATTGCATGTTATCCATAAGAATTGATTTTGCTTAAAGGTCGGGTCGTTAAAATATGCAATCCATAAGAACTGATTTTGCTTAAAGGGCGGGTCTTTAAAGTATATAATCCATAAGAATTGATTTTGCTTAATGGACGGATTTTGAAGGTATATTATTCATAAGAACTGATTTTGCTTAAAGGGCGGATCATTTAAGTATGTTATCCATCAGCATTGATATAACTCAACGGGCGGGTCGTTAAAGTAGGTTATCCATAAGAATTTAACGCATGGGGCCTTTAAGTATGCTATCCATAAGAATTGTTACAGTTGAACACGTGGGGTTTAAAGGATTGCTATAGCTTAAAAGGCGGGGCTTTAAATTATGTTATCCGTAAGGATTAGTAAAGTTCAAAGGGCGGGATTTTAAATGTTATTCATTATAACACAACTTGTCGGTCTTTAAAGTACATGTATGTTTTTCATAATGCTTGTTTTAGCATAACGTGTAGGGCTTTAAAGTATGTTATAAGTGTTGTTATGATTTAAGGGGTGGGGCTTTTAAAGTATGTTATGCATAAGAATTGTTAGATTTTAACGCGTGGGGATTATAAATATGTTATCCACAAGAATTGTTAGAGTTTAACCCTTGGGACTTTAAAGTATGTCATCCATAAGAATTGTTAGAGTTTAACGCGTGGTACTTTAAAGTATGTTATCTATAAGAATTGTTAGAGTTTAACGCGTGGGACTTTAAAGTATGTTATCCATAAGAATTGTTAGAGTTTAACGCGTGGGACTTTAAAGTATGTCATCCATAAGAATTGTTAAGAGTTTAACGCGTGGGACTTTAAAGTATGTTATCCATAAGAATTGTTAAAGTTTAACGCGTGGGACTTTAAAGTATGTTATCCATAAGAATTGTTATAGTTTAACGCGTGGGACTTTAAAGTATGTTATCCACAAGAATTGTTAGAGTTTAACGCGTAGGAATTTAAAGTATGTCATCCATAAGAATTGTTAGAATTTAACGCGTGGGACTTTAAAGTATGTTATCCATAAGAATTGTTAGAGTTTAACGCGTGGGACTTTAAAGTATGTTATCCATAAGAATTGCGCTTGTAACTAACTATAAACTTCCGAGGCGAGAGTCGCCGTTAAGCCAGAGCGACGAAAAAGTCGCATTTCAGATCAAATATTAATCACAGAATCTGTCTTACCCAATTTTGGCGGGTTGGATGGCCGAATGGTTAGCGTGTGCGCGCTGCGTCATATGGTTTGTCATTGAGTCAACTGGCGTGGTTTCTATTCCGCGGTTGTACGTGACAAGTGACAAGGAGTAGTAGGGTCGCCTGTCCAATCTCTTGGGGCTTCTCCGGTTCCCCCCCACTGCCAAAGACCCCTACGCGCAAGCGAATTATTGAAATAAAATTGAACCATATGTTAGTCCCGAAATGACCTAGTTTGTGTCGAGTGCAGTTACCCCCCTCTCTCTCTCTCTCTCTCTCTCTCTCTCTCTTTACCCAATTCTTTTCATTTTAGGTGGAGAAACAACTAAACACGTATCAATTCATCTATGTGTCCAGTGCGAAGCAGATTATCGGAGTCAGTGATCTTTTTCACATCCTCGATCTACCAAAGGAATCCTCTCTGGACTTTGATCTCTTGGAACAAGCCCTGGTGGACGAAGATGAGCCTGATTTAAATAAAGGTATTTTTTAACTATTAAAAGGACAATATTTAATCCACACACATTAAGAAATAGCCCCATTTCACTTCAAGGATTTGTTTGTTCCGAAATTACCCAGTACTTTTTTAGTCCGCGTAAAACCCCAACCCTAGTCCTACTCCCTTTAGATTTTTTAATGAAGCTTCTCGATTTTCTCTCTTTCAGATTCTATCTCGAAAACTCAAACTGATTGTTGGGATTTCGCTAATGTGTCGTTCAGTTGGGATCAATTCACCCCGGTGGTTGCACTCGGTGCTAAAAATACGTTCAATATCAAAATCATGAAGAGAGAAATGCCGTTCCCAAGAGTTGAAAACAAGCAGATTATTGAGTTCTTTAATATCAGGGATTCCAGCCAGAAGAACACCTCAAGTTGGTTGCAGAAGATATTCACAAAAACGCGTCCATCCGTGGAGATGTTTTCGAGTGGGTATAATTGCAAGGTAATGGAGCGTGAAATGCCGTACACCCAAAACTCAAGCACCAAGGTAACATCCGTGGATACCACCAGCCTGACCAGAAGCTCCTCTGAAAACAGTTGGCTAGATGATCTTCAAATCATCAATTCTTCTTCTATCGTGGACGATTTTTACGCTTCTTCTGGTGATGTGCTTGCAGCTCTGGCTAATGAAGACCGAGATGAAATAGAATTCAATCCACCCGAATCCCCAGTTATGCTAGACTTAGACGATGTTGTCTATAGCAGTTTTGAGGGTTGTGGAAATCTGTTTTCAACTGATGATTGGATTGATCTTCCGGGTTGTGAACCAACTGACAACTTCTATAAAACCTGTGGTCTGTCAGTTCCGTCGTCTGCAACCAGTGCAAGATCTTCCTACGATTTTTCCGACGAACTCTGCCTTGATATCTTATTTCACGAAGCCGAGGACACTAAGAAAGGAAAATCGAAGTCAAAATCAAAACACCCAAGACGAAGGTCCAAGAAGGCCGGAAAAGTAAAGAAAGCTTTGGCGAGTTCACCCCAAACAGCAGTTGCTGTAACAGATGATTCTGGATCAAACGGTAACAAAGAGTTAGAAGTCAGAGCTTTGGTTCCTTATAAACGTTCAAAAATCACCAAGAGAAATAAGAGACAGCGTTCTAAATCTTCTAAAATCTCCAGCGAAGCACCTCCCAAAGCACCAGGAAATGTGGAGGAATCTGTTGAAGCTGCTCCTCAAAAGCCATCACTGGAAGTTGTTCCTTACAAAAGAACCCGAAAGGTCAAGATGGCAACAATTGACCCTATGATGGTGACGCAGCCTTTTATATCGAGCCCAATTTTCTTTCCCAATATTCCATCTTGCATCAGGCCAAATCTAGCAGTTGTTCCCTACATTCCC